AGTTGGGCTCAAGCTGAAGAACGGTGTGATGGAGGACTTGATCACGGTCCACAAGACCCCCGCCAGCTTCCCAGCTACACGGCCCATCGGGCCTGGCCGGGAGGTGGTGACATCCTGGGGTGAGGCCATGGCGGCCCTGGGGGAGACGGAGGGCTGTCAGGAAGCCTTGGCGAACGGGTTCGCGGCCTTCATGCAGGGAGCTGAGGTGGAGCTGGGCAGCTTGTTCCATATCCCGCAGGACGACATGCGGAGGTACACGGGGCGAGGGTTGGAGCCGCGCTTCGTCAAGATACATCCCACGAGGCGGAACAACGCGGCGGTGGCCAAGGCATCCCCCGAGGCGCGCCAGGCTCTTTGGCTGCGCGACCGTCTACGCGAGCTCCAGCGCGCATACGAGAGGGACGAGCCGAGGCACCGCCGGGCAGCGAAGCGGCTCCTCGACACCCTGGAGCACTGGAACGGCTCCCTCAAGAAGGCTCAGGACTGGCACTTCTTCGAGGCGTACTGGAAGCGGCTGCGCAAGCTCACGATCGACGACCTGGCCAAGCTGGCGGAGCAGGCCCAGAACGTGAGCGCGCGCCTCTCCAAAGACTTCGAGAGAGCACGCTGCCGATCATTCGACGCCTGGGCGAAGCAGGCCACGTTGAACGGAGCGGGCCTCGCCCACAAGTGGACGCGTGGGCCCACGGGAGCGGGGCCAGGGTTGCTGGACAACGGCGTAGCAGCGGACGTGCAGGACGCCGCCGACAAGTTCTGCGCAGACTGGCTCCAGCAGGTCTGGAACGCCCGCGAGCCCATGAAGGACACCAGCTGGGACGAGATCAAGCACCACGCGTTGGACGCGCCCTCGGTCGAAGCCATCAGGACCGCGAGCAGGAAGTTCAAGCGTCGGACGGCCTTGGGCTCCGACGCGTTCCACCCACGGTGGTTCGCGATGCTGTCCGACGAGGCGCTAGATTTCTTAGGCCAGCTCATGGTATACATGGAGAGGGTCGGCAACCAGCCGAAGCAGCTGACCACCATCATCGTCTTCCTCGCCAAGAAGGAGGGCGGGGTGAGGCCCATCGCCTTGCTAGGCGGATTTCTTCGGATATGGACAAAGGTGCGGCGGGCACAGATGCAGCAGTGGGAGGACGAGCACGACCTGCCGTGCTTCCACAACGCGAGCGGTAGGACGGCCGAGCGGGCCGTCTGGGACCAGGCCGTCTACCAGGAGTGGGCCCTCAAGGTCGGCATGGTCACGGCCTCGAACCAGCTCGACATGACCAAGGCCTACGAGAGGGTGGGCCACCAGACGCTCTGGGATGAGGGCTGCGCTAGCGGCGCCAACCTGGTGCTACTACGCACTAGCATCAGCATCTATGCAGGCCCACGGCGGTGCAAGGTCGACGACGCGGTCTCGTGCGTGGTCGAGCTGGCCTGCAGCATCTTGGCGGGCTGCGGCTTCGCGACATCATGGCTGAAGGTCCTCATGTTCCGCAGCCTGCGGCTCTTTGGCGACAGGTACCAGTGCATCCAGCTGTTCGCCTTCGTCGACGACCTCACCATCCTCTGCGTCGGGTCGCAGCGCTTCCTGTTCAATGTAGCAGCGGACGGCTTGCAGTACCTTATCGAGCTCCTCCGCAAGCTGGGCTTTGAGGTCAACGGCTCGAAGTCCACCATCGTCATCTCCACGGCGTACGCTGGCAAGTGGATCGCAGACAGGGTGTACACACACACACACACGGCGCAGCGGCTCCAGGTCAAACAGCACCACCGCAACCTGGGCGTGGACTCGATGGTGGGGGCGAAGCGGCGCACCAAGGTCATGGACGCGAACTTCGACAAGCAGAGGCGCCGCCTTGGACGGGTCACGTGCCTCAAACGCCAGGGCGCCAAGTCGGGCAAGGTGGGCAGGATGGGCATGCAGCCCGCCATGACGTATGGCGCCAGCGTGCTCGGCCGAAGTGACTCGCAGCTGCACAGGATCAGGGCGGCGGTCGGCGCAGCGATGTTCACCGACACGGCGAGGCGCTCGCTCACGCTGTCCTTCATGCTGGAGCGGGGCAAGCAGGACCCAGCCTACGCCGTCAACGCGGCGCCGCTGGTCGAGTGGGCGAAGGCGGTCTGGACCAATCGCATCCCCACCCACATTCTTCAGGGAGCCCTGGACCGAGCCGAGGCGACTCAGAGGAATAAGCTGCACCCATAGGCCGCCGTGGTCGGGCCAGCGGGTGCGATGCTTGCCACGGCCAGGAGGATAGGCTGGCAGGTTGTCTCCGCCAGCAGGTGGATCTCCCACGACGGCGAGGAGCTGGAGCTGAGCGAAGGCGTGGGGCCACGGGCGATCAAAGGATTGCTAGATCGAGCCATCGAGAGGTGGCAGTACGCTCAGATAAGTGCGCATGAAGGGCTGGAGCACCTCAAGGGCGGCATCCACCTGGAGCCAGTGCGCAAGGTCATCCGCAACCTCGAGAAGCACGGCCTGAAGCAGGAGGCGCGCGGCCTGCGCTCCACCGTCATCGGAGCGCAGTGGCCCCAGCAGCAGCTGCATGCCGCGGGCCTCGCCGACTCCCCACTGTGCCAGCGCTGCGGCGAAGCCCCTGGCGCGCTCCCTCACCGCCACGGTGCATGCGCGGCGTGGGCGCGTGAGCGCAGGGAGAGCGAGATCGGCCAGGTCCACTTCCCCGAGGGCGCGCTCCCCGCGCTGCAGGAGGCGTTTTTGGGCAGGTGTCTGCTGCCCAACTGGACCGCGGGGCCGAGGCCGTCGCGAGCGTGGCACACGGCATGGAGCATAGAGGTCCCAGGAGGCTTCTTCACGGACGACGGCTTCGTGGGCGGATCGGGACGTTGCCTCGCAGGCCCCGATGGCATGCGGGTGGGCTTCGGCTGCGCATCAGTGGACCACCTCGGGCGGGTCACGGGAGCGTGCCACGGGCCGTCTCCTGGCTGGCTGCAGGAGGTGGGAGAGGGCGAGCTCTTCGCGGTGGAGGTCATGCTGCAGCACGCCGTTCCCCCGTTCACCGTCTACAGCGACTACCAGGACCTGCTCGACGGCATCGCCGCAGGGCCTGCTGTGTGCTGCGCGCCTGGCAAGGCCTACGCCGAGCAGTGGAGGGGGATCTGGCGACTCATCCAGGACATCGGGCAGGACCAGCTCCAGTTCCGCAAGGTCAAGGCCCATCAGGTCATCACCCAGCTCGCCTACGGCTCGGTGGAGGGACGCCTCGCGCCAGGCAACAGAGCCGCCGACATCGAGGCCAAGATGGGAGCGGCCTGCCACCCATGCAGCTCTCAGGTTGAGGAGGAGCGCTTCGCCTCCCAGCAAGGGGCAGTGGGACGCATGGCGGGCTGGGTGGCCCAGGTGCGTGCGTTAGCCAACGGCGGCCAGAGAGACACCACGGGCAAGCAGCTGCTGACGAGGGCCCCGCGGCACGAGGAGCAGCACGGCATGGTGCGTGCTAAGCACCGCCGCACTCAGCCACGCGGGCAGCCAAGGCCCGAACCCTACAGAGGAGCCGACGCGAGCCCGAGCATGGCGCATGACGACCATGATGGCGACACCAGCGGAGGCAAGTCGCCACAGCGCGGGCCTACGGTGCTGGCGGCGGCGGCGCTCGCGGCTGCAGGCTGGAGGGCTGGCCTGGCGGGAGGCTCCGACGACGAGACCGACGGCGAGGACCTGGCCCAGCGTGGTGGCGCTGGCAGCAGGGGCGAAACAGACCCTGCGCCGCCCCGCTGGGCCCAGCAGCTGACAACGAGCCAGGCCAGCGGCGGCGACCCCGAAGGCCTGGCGGACGGTGGCAGGTCACCGACACCAGAGGGCGGCTGGGCAGCGCTGGACGCCCCGCTGAGCGGCCAGGGCAGCAGCAGCCATGCCGTCCACGGTGGCGAGGACAGCGACGACGCGCCGCTGGTGCAGCCGCGCAGGAGGCAGGCGGCCCCCCGCAGGCAGCAGCTCTTCACGGCGAAGGGCGTGCTGGCTCGAGGCGGCGACAAGCGGCCCCGCGAGGCCGAGGCACGGCAGGCAGCGCAGGAGGCGGGCAGCAGCCAGGCGGATGGCAGGACCGCCAGCCAGGACGGCGTCGGTCGCCGCGTGGCGGCACGGCTACAGCGCGAGCGCGGGCCACAGCTCTTCATGCCCGACGACGTGGGCAGCGCGGTGGACCTGCCGCTGCGGCACCGCGCGCAGTGGGTCGGCGGCGCCAGCGCGCTGCCGTTCGCATGCGACCGCTGCGGGGTACGCTGCAGGGACCGCGCCCAGCTGGAAGCGGGGCTGTGCCGCGGGACGCCTGCCGCCGTGCTGGCGGCCGACGCGACGCACCGCCTGATGACCATGGGCGACGTGGTGTTCTGCTTCTCGTGCGGGGCAAGGGCTAGTGGAGGAGCGGCCATCCTGCTGGCGGAGAAGTGCCTGGGCAAGGTCGCCAATGCCACGGCTGGCACAAGGCTGAACAGGATGAAGGCGGGGAAGCACCCGCTCACGGGCCACCTCATCGGCGAGCCCGTCCCGCTGGTGGCGCGCGTGGAGGCGGCCCCAGCGGAGGAGGTGCCGATGACGGCATGAGGATCGAGGGCGGCGTGCCGCCCAGCCAGGGCACTGCTGCGGCCGTTCGGCCAGCTGGGCGGCGGCGGGAGGGCGCTGGGCGGCGCGCGGCCACAGGCGCAGCGCGGCGGCGGCCTGCGCCGTGCCGCGCGTGCGCCGCGGGGGGCTGGCGGCTGCGGCAGTAGGCCCGTGCTCGCCCGCGCGGCGGCGGCGGACGGCGCCGTGCCAAGAGGGCGTGCTGCGCCCGCGGCGGCGCGGCGGGGGTCGTCGCGCCGCGCGGGCGCTCGGGCGGCGCGCCGAGACAGACGGCCCGCTGCGCAAGTGGGTGCGCCTCCTCCTCCTCCTCCTCCTCCTCCTCCTCCTCCTCTCCTCCTCCTCCTCTTCCTCCTCCCCCTCCTCCTCCTTCTCCTCCTCCTCCTTTTCCTCCTCGTCCCCCTCCTGCTCCTCCCCCTCCTCCCCCCTGTGCGTGGGGCAGACGGGCCGCGACGGGAGACGGACCCTGCCGGCACGTGGCAGTCGTGCGCTCGGAGCTGTGGCAGCTGCGGGCTGCTCGCGGGCGGCGGTTGGCAGGACGCCGCGGCGAGGCCTGGAAGGGGGCACCGACCCAGACCCCCTCGAGTTATGAAAAAATCACGACGGGAGGTTTTGCATCATTTTTGGCCTTCGGGGGCCCTTACCGGCACTCGGGACCGTCAAAAAACGACTCAGGACGAAAAACTTGTCCCAGGGAATGGGTCCAGACCGCTGGGGGTCGACGTCATGAAAAAATCATGACGTCGGGGGTCTGGGGAGAGTGCACGCGCGGCTGCTGCCGACGTGGTGGCACCTTTCCCGCCATCATCGCGTCGGGGCAGCGCGAGGCTCGAGCTCGCCCGAACTCGGTCCTGCCCACGCTCTGTCAGACGGCCCGCCTGGGAGTCTTGACGGTCCAGCTTCCGTGGGACGTTTGCAGCGGGAGCTCGCGCCGAATTTCATATCGCGCCTCGTCGATGGCCACATTCTGTGGCGGCCCCGTCGGGCCAACCTACCGGTCCCCCGAGCCCCCGGACCGGTGTGCGCCGCGGTCGGCGGCGCCGCGGCGGCGCGTGCCGCGGGTAGCGGCCAGATCTGGGCCCGGAGGGGCCCCCGGCCTCGCTGCGTGGCATGCGGCCCCCGATGCGGCCCCCGGGGTCGCGGCGGCGATCGCGCGGGCGGCCACGAGTCGGGCGCGGCTGTCTGTTGCGTCAAGGTCTGGGCGGGCCCCTTGCTGAGCCCCCCCCCCCCAGGGTCGGACGCTGCACGCGTGGCCCAGCAGTGATGCAGGATGGCGACAGAGCGCAGCGTACGCCCCACGTTTGCAGTCGTGTTTTCTTCGGTCAGGGGTCGATCTCCAGGCCCCTCGCGGTCCCCGTGCCGACCGCACGCGCGGGAAATTGTTGGTGGACCTCTGCGGCATCCTCGTCCGCCCCCGTCGGGTTTTCAGGCACTGCCTTTCTCTGACCCTTCTCCCTGCAGAGGCTCGTGGCCGAGTGCGAGTCCAACCGCTGGGTCGTGGACGGGCTCCAGGCCAAGATCGACGCGCTCCCAGACGGATCCCCGCAGCTTCTGGCGGAGGTTCACAAAGGGGCAGAGCTTGAAAAACGCATGATGCTTCCTGCACTTGCGAGGAGGTCGTGGAAGTGGTGGCCTGTTGCACGCCAACGTTTCACATTTCATGCGTAGGCCTTCTCGGAGGAGGCCAGTTGGCCCTACCTGGCAGTTTCCTCCGTGATTCATGGGCCTCCTGGAAGCTCTTGGTCGCCACGGCTGGATCCTCCTCGAAAGACGGGCCAGGAAGGACCATGAGGAGGAGGAGGAGGAGGAGGAAGAGGAGGAGGAGGAGGAGGCAGAGACGGAGAAGGAGGAAGAGGAGGAGGAGGAGGAGGAGGAGGAGGATGAGGACGGGGAGGAGGAGGAGGAGGAGAGGAGGAGGAGGAGGAGGGGAGGAGGAGGAGGAGGAGGAGGAGGAGGAGGAGGAGAAGACGAGGGAGGAGGAGTAGGAGGACGAAGAGGAGGAGGAGGGAGAAGTAGGAGAAGTAGGAGAAGGAGGGGGGGGTGTGAGGAAAAGGAGGAGGAGGGGGGAGGAGGGAGGAGGAGAGGGGGAGGAGGAGTGAGGGGGAGGAGGAGGAGGAAGGAGTTGAGGAGGAGGAGGAGACAGAGATTGAGCGAATTTAGGCCAGCAGCGGGAGGGTCGCCGCTGTCTCAACTGACCCTCCTCCGATGCTCCCTTTGTACAGGGTGATGGGCATGTCTTCCACCACCACCACCATAAGTTGGGGGGGGAAGGAGGAGAAGGAAGGAGCAGGAGGAGGAGGAGGAGGGGGAGGAGGAGGAGGAGGATGAGGAGGAAGAGGAGGAGGAGGAGGAGCAGGAGAAGGAGGAGGAGGAGGAGGAGGAGGAGGTGGAGGACGAAGAGGAGGAGGACGAAGAGGAGGAGGCGGAGCAGGAGGAGGAGGAGGCGGAGGAGGAGCACCCCCTCCAACTTAAGGTGATGGTGGCAAAAAAACAGGCCCATCACAGGTTGTGGCGAATTCGACTGAGTTCCGGGAGCACCTTTGGGAGCGCTGCCCCTTCGTCCTGCGGGGTCCGCAGGGGGACCTTGCCGAGCTCACCTTGGGGTCGGCCCTCGAGATGGCCAGCAGTGGGGATTTGCGTAAGGGGGCCAGGAACACGTTCATGGATGCGAATGTCAAAGAGGAGAAGCTGCATTCATTTCGTCTCGATTACTCGGGCGCGGGGGACAAACTGGGCTCCGAGGACGTCCTCAAGAAGATGAAGAAGGGCACCTGGGTGGTCAGCTCGGTGCACAGCCTTCATCCTGCCGCAGGCAGAGTCACATTGGCGTACCAGCACGCGTTTGGGTGGCCTACTTCGTCCAACATGTATGCCACTTTGTCTGGGTTTTCTACTTCCGCGCCAGCCCACACTGACCGGACGGAGTCGTTCAGGCTCCAGTGCAATGGCGAAAAGCGTTGGCGCGTCTGGGCACCAAAGGTGCTTTACCCCGTCAGCGGAGTGCATGAGGATGGTCAATGGGGCAAGGGCTACGCGCAATTGCGGCCTGAGCAGATGGGGCCACTCATGATAGACCATAATCTGCTGCCAGGGGAGGTGCTATCCAGCTGGGCTACCGCGCATATCTGCCACTGCGCTGGGGAGGCTCGGTGGGAGGGTTCACAGAAGATACAGCGACAGTAAGGAACGCGGGCCTCCTCAAACCAATGACTGAGACATCCCACCAAACTACCGCCTGGCAGTTTCATACGCAAGACGCGCCACGAGCGCAGTGGCGGATACATGCCTCGTGGTTTCGCGCACCACACCTCGACGCCCTCTCAGGGCCCGGCTGGGCGAGGTGTGGAGGAGCCTAGTGACGTTCTGAGGGACACCTCCGTCACGCTTGCCCTGACCATAATCACGGAGCAGTACGAGGAGAGGAAAGGGTCTGAATGGGGAGCAGAAGGAGGAGGGGGCAGGAGAAGCGAGGGGGCAGGAGAAACGGTGGGAGGAGAAGGAGGAAGATGAGAGAAGGGTAGCAGAAGGAGAAGCGGTGGGAGAAGGAGAAGGTGTAGCAGCGGGAGCCGGTATCCGCCCCCCCCGCCATCCTCTCCCCCAAAAATGTGCGCGCACACTCGTTTATCAAAAATTGTCAGTTTCCAGCATTTCCTTGCAACACATGGGACGAAGTGCGCACGCGCGCGTTGTCGCGCGCGCATGTCGAAATCCCTCAAACAGCTCCGGCTTCGTAAGGGTTTTAACATTGAATGTCCAAAATACATATAAAAACCAAAGGGTCTCGCAACACAGATGTTCAACAAGAAGCTTGCGCGCGCGCTCTTGCGAATTCTTACGCAAACATCGGTTGTTGATAATTGCAGCAAGTGTTACCAAACGGGTTTCGCGCGCGTTCATGTCGAAATCGTTTGGACGCCCTTGCGCGAGGGCCGTCGCGAGAATCCTTTGAAAAGAATTGGAGGAAGTGCGCACGCGCGCGACGTCGAACAACCATTTCTATATAACCTCATCGCCTCCCAACATCAGTTTTCAAACATGCTTGCGTTCGCACTCTTCAGCAGGTTCTCCAGGAAACTGTTTTCCAACATTTGTTCATGGAATTCTGCCAAACGGGCCTCTGACGCCGCATACCGACATCATTTGCACGCCTTTGCGCGCGTGTTGGGTATGGGCGGGGGACACGATCCGTGTCAAATAATACGATGCGGGCCACTCGCGCGTCGGCCGCACGCGCGCGCATGTCAAACTCTCCAAAAACCTTCATCACTGACTCGAGGACGCCGTCATCGTCGTGGGCGCGATCAGCATCTGCGCCCACACTGGCCGCGCCTTCGTCGTCACCAGCATCGCTATTGTCCTCCTCGTGTCTACCGTTGTCGACATTGCAATAATTCCGCGCCCGCCCAAGTCGCCGACTTGCACTGAAGTGCCCGCTGGGCTGTGCCCAAAGGTCAGCGCCACCGCGGCCGCGTCGGTCCGGCCAAACTAGCAGGCCGCTGCGCGCGCGTGCTTGGGTTGGCGCGGTCGCAGAGACGCGCCAGCAAACGCCAAGCACTCATCGCAATCGCCGCCGCATGGGTTTTGTAAACTAATTTGCGGGTGGGAGGGTGGGATGTTTGCGAGAGAATGGGGGGTAGTCAATGGTGGAGCACGGTAATCAATTCTCTTTTCTAGAAAGAAAATAGAGTCTCCCCCCCTCCCCCCCTGGCGTTATCGCTACCCCTTTTCGGGTATGTAAATCATATACGATTCGGACCACATGAAATCGCAATCTCCCAAGCCAGCCGGGTTCCCCCCCTGAAGTTCCCTTGTAAAAAAAACACTATGCGGTGACATCTTTTGTTCTACCATGATAATTTTTCACGAATGCCTTGCAACAAATGGGACGAAGTGCACCCGCGCGCGTCGTCGCGCGCATGCCGGGATCCTTAAAACAATTCGGTGCCGGAAGGATTTCGCAATCGAGTTACCAAAAGAACATACAACCGCACAGGGTTTCGCAACAGTGATTTGCTAAAAAAACTTACGCGCGAGCTCTTGAGAAATCTGAAGAAAACCCGCAAGATGTTCACAAAATGCTACCAGACGGGCTTCGCGCGCGCGCATGTCGAAATCTGTCGAACGCCCTTGCGCGTGTGCCGTCGCGAGAATCCTCTGCAAAACACGGGGCGAAGTGCAGACGTGCGCGTCGTCGCGCGCGTATGCCGAAATCATTCAAAACCCATCGGTTCCGGAAGGATGTCAAAATCGTGTGTCCAAAAAACCTACAAAAAACACAAGGTTTCGAAAGACGGATTTTCAACAAAACGTGCGCGCGCACTCTTGCGTTGCCGTCGTCGTCGTCGTCGCCGCCGTCGTCCCTCCTCCCGCGTCGTCGTCGTCGTCGTCGCCTACGTCGTCCTCTGTCTTGCCTCGTGTTCGTCGTCGTCGTCCTCTTTGGCGTCGTGGTCGTTTCCGTCGTTGTCGCCGTGGTCGTCCTTCCTCCTCCTCCCTCGTCGTCGTCGTCCGTCGTCGGCGTCTCGTCGTCGTCCCTCCTATTTCGTCGCGTCGTCGTCGTCGTCGTTGTGTCGTCGTCGTCTTCCCTCCTCCCTCGTCGTTGTCGTCGTCGGCGTCGCCGTCCTTCCTCCTTCTTCGTCGTTCGCGTCGTCGCCGTCCTCCCTCCTCCCTCGTCGTTGTCGTCGTTGTCGTCGTTGTCGCCGTCGTCGTCCTCCCTCCTCCCTCGTCGTCGTCTTCGTTGGCGACGTCTTCGTCGTCGTCGTCGTCCTTGTCTTCGTCGTCGTCGTCGTCGGCGTCGGCGTCGTCGGCGTCGGCGTCGTCGTCGTCGTCATCGTCGTGGTCGTCGGCGTCGTCGTCGTCGGTGTCGTCGTCGTCGTCGTTCTCGTCGTCGAAGTCGTTGGAGACGTCGTCGGTGTCGTCGTAGTCGGTGTCGGCGGCGCCGTCGTCGTCGTTGTCGCTGTCGTCGTCGGCGTCGGTGTCGTGGCCCAAGTGCCATGTGGTACCTACCGTCACGGTCTTGTCTTAAGATGTCTTGCGACCAAGTTGCGGGTGGGTGGGTGGGATGTTTGCACGAGCAGCGGAGAGGACAGCTTCAAGACGGTCAAAATGGATGGCACCACATAGATTGCACCACGCCGAAGCACGTAGATTGCACAACGTAGATCGCACAACAGACATAGCACACCATAGGTCTCACCGCCGATTTTGCACCACCCAGTTGCACCGCAAGCATGCCTTGCCGCCAGACACCTATCACACATATCGCATAGATAGCCGGCGCAACACACACACATATATATATAGGTTTACATATACAGTTTGCGCACCACATAGGGTGCACCGCCAGGGTTGCACCACGCACAATGCAAAACATATGTTGCACCACGTAGAGTGCACCACCCTTGAGTGCACAGCTTATAGAATACCACATATAGTGCACCACGCATGCCTATACGACCATCCTTCGGGTGGTAAGGAGTTGTGGAGGGGGAGAGGGGGGGAGCCAACATCTGACCAATCGATCCCACTATCGATCTCATTCAACGGGACACCACGGGACGCCATGGGACACTTGTTGATCTCATGATCGATTTCACTATCGATCTCAGTTCACGGGACACCACGGGACACCGCGGGACACCACACGATCCCACTATCGATCCCACTGTCGATCTCACTATCGATCTCAGTTCACGGGACACCACGGGACACCGCGGGACACCACACGATCCCACTATCGATCCCACTGTCGATCTCACTATCGATCTCACTCAACGGGACACCAAGGGACACCTTTCGATCTCCCTATCGATCTTACTATCGATCTCACTTTCTCGGGCACCGCGGGACACCACGGGACTCTTCGGGGCACCACATCGATCTCAGTATCGATCTCACTATGGATCTCACTAGCAATCTCACTCAACGGGACACCGCGGGACACCACGGGACAGTCCCACTATTGATTTCACTATAGACCTCACCCAACGGGACACCACGGGACACCGCTAGTGCCACCGCTGGACGGACGGACGGATAATCATTTGTTTTGGCTTCGCTTTAGCAGCGGCGGACACCACGGAACAACACGGGACACCACGGGACACCACGAGACACCGTTAGGGCCACCGCCGGACGGGCGGAGGAGAATCATTTGTTTTGATTTCGCCCCGGACACCACGGGACACCGCGGGACACCGCTAGGGCCACCGCCGGAAGGACGGAAGATAATCATTTGTATTGAATTCGCCGTAGCAACGGCGGGTTCATTCTTCTTGCGCGCCCACGCTGCTTCGCCTCGCCCGCACGCACGACACAACCGAAATGAAACATTTTCCGGTTGGGGGTCTCCGTTCCAATGAATGTGATCTCACCCCCCAACCTCCGATCGCACATCATAGGTTCACAACATACGATGCGCCACAAATATTGCCCCACAGGGGTTGCACCACACGTATTGCACCGCAGATATGTGTCCACATAGACAGGACCACATACATTGTGCCATAAACATTGCGCTACATAAAACCGCACAGCCTTATTTGAATTCAACATCGTAGTAGATGGCACGACGTAGGCACATCTTACGTCGCGTGAATGCTCCACATAGATTGGTTAACACCGATAGTGCAACATCGATAGCCGCACAACCCTTGTCAGCAACGCGCTGTCTGGGGGCTCGCGCTGGCTGACATTACACACACATATATATATAGATATATATATATATATATATAGATATAGAGACCAGTTTTTCTCCGCCCCCGGTGCCAACCCCTCCTTGCAGGTTTTACCTCCACCCCCAGCCCCCAAGCACTTCCCCCCCTCCGTCCTCCCAAGCTGGTCTACGAGAAAGCGATGCTCTGCGCGCTCGGGTCCGCTGGACTCTGCACGAAGGACAGCTGCGAGCTGGGGTCGCGCGTGAGCATCCTGGCCCGGCAGGACCTTCCCCAAATCATCTGCACCCGATGTCGTCCGCATCCTGCCTCAGATCGGGGCGGAGGGAGTGGACGGGGGGTGGGGCATGAAGAGGCAGGGTCGTCACCGCTGTCGTCATCCGTCGTCGTCCCATGCCCACTCTTCCGGGTCCTCCGCTGGCTCGTCGCCATCCTCTCCCCGTCCTGCAGTCCTCCAGCAGCCTTGGTCGGGAAGAGAAGTGATTCTTGCCCGTGCCCCCGCAGGACGAAGAGCTCAGGAGGTCCCTTCCCTTGGGCTTCCTGCAAGCGCAGCTCGGGACGCCTGCGGGAGATCGAGATGCGTGGCTTCGCGCGATGAGGTCCACTTTGCAGAGGCTCTTCAGCAAGATCGAGGCAGGGAACTTCCAAAAGATGGCCTCGTCTTGCGCCACGCACTGTGAGAAGTTGACATCCCGCCCTCAGCGGCAGACCCGCGGGGATCGGCGGAAGTGGAACTGCGCGACTCCGCCAGCGGAAGCGGAAGTTGCCCCCCCCCCCCCCCCCCCCCCCCCCCCCGCCCCCCCCCACCCCAACCCATAGGGAGGTCGAGACGCTGGCGGGCTCAGGACTTGCGCGGCAGCCCAGAGGTGGACACAACGCAGGCGCCACTGGCGGGTGGCGTGAGGCAGATCGTGGAGGTCCTGTGGGACAGCGTGGGCTCTATTGGGGCGGGTGGTAATGGGGGTTGACTTGCATGGGGTGCGAACAAAAGGTTCCCAGATGGGGCCCTTGAGGGCCTCTGCTCCCTACAGGGGCCCTTGAGGGTCTTCTTCCCCACACCCCATTCAGGTTTACGCGGCGTTGGCGCGACGGCGTCGCCAGCGAAGGCGTGAAAGCATCCTGCGACGCGGCAGCACCGACGGGACACAGTAACGCCAGCGGACCCGACTGAATTCAACCGTGAACAGGGGCCGCGATCGATTCAAGGCTGAACGATCGACGCGGTGTCAACATCTTTTGCGCGCGCCGACGCCGCACGAACTTGCCGTGCAGTCGGCCTTGATAAGTAGGTCGACCCTGCCAAGTCAAGGGTTCCCTGGTGTCCTGTGCCTCGCGACCCATGCCTCCTGCATCCCTATGGCGCTGTGGCCCTCGGAAGGGTTTTGTGTCCTGTCGCGTGTCCTGTCGAATCAAGTCCGACTGTAGTTCACCCCTCCACCACCAGCCGCCCGATCCATGGCGAGGTCCAGCCTTCTCGAGAGCACTTTTGCACCGCTCATAGGGGCGCCAGGCCTGTGCTCGGACCCGCGGTGCGTGAGGCGCAAGGGCGTGCCCCTCGCCAACAGGACGGAGATGCAGCACAGGATCTCGGTGGTTCAAGGGCGGGGTTCTCAGGGGTGGGGGCCCTGAGGCTGAGGATACAGTGGGGGCGCGCATTAAGGAACCATATGCGCGACGTAATAACAAAGGGTTCGTCTTCACCGGCACTGGCGCGTAAGCTGCCCGAGTAAGGTCGTGCGCGTGCGCCCTCGCTCCCAGTGAAGCGTGCCGCGCTGGTCGTCGTGTCGTCTTGCGTAAGGCCCATTGCTTTTCGTCGCTCATGTGCTTTTCGTCAGGGTCCCGGGGGTTTCTCCGCTCCTCGCGCTGCCCGGTGATTTTCCGCGGCCGTTGGAGAGGCTGCTGCATTCGGATTGCCCTGGGGCTTCCCCCGTCGCACCTCTCGCGCGGGTCTTCAGGGCGTGGCTTCCTGCGAGGGTTTCACGCGGTCGCGTCCTCGCTGTGGGAAGGGATCCATGGGGGGAGGAGGAGGGGGAGGGGGAGGAGGAGGGGGAGGAGGAGGAGGAGGAGGAGGAGGAGGAGGAGGAGGAGGAGGAGGAGGAGGAGGAGAAGGAGGAGGAGAGGGGGAGGAGGAGGAGGAGGAGGAGGAGGAGGAGGAGGAGGAGGAGGATGAGGAGGAGGAGGAGGTGGTGGTTGAGGCGCCTCGTCCTTAGGACCCCGTCTCTCAGGACACCACCTTTGAACCACCGAAGGATCTCGAACTTCCTGCTGAGTCCCTACTTCAAGGCCTGCCGCCTGAACGAGATCAACGCGAGATATGCGCAGGGTACGCGAGCGGCTGGCGGGCTGATAGAGAGGATCTGAGCAGCGGCCATGTTCGAACTGCCCCTCCTCCCGCTGCTCCTCCTCGTCGGGCCCCCAGACCCCTTCCCGTCTGCATTCGTCGAGCGAGGGGTCGAGATGGTGTCGGCTGTCAGCGCCGGGTCTCTACAGACACGCCCAAGTTTTATGCTGTCGTGCCTCCGTGCTGGTAGCTTTGTCCTGGGAGGCGCTCTCTCAGGATTGTTGTTGAACATTATTAATTCTAAAGAATAATTATTGTTGGGCCCCCTGGTGCGCGCCCCCCCCGCCGCGCCTAGGCCGCAGCCACGTTTTCATCATTTTCGTGAGGAAGCCTCAGGTAATTCGAGTTGATCAAGATCCGGTTGTTTTGTTGTAATCCGTTTTCCCTTGCAAAAAACACTATAAAATGACATTTCTTGTTCTAATATAATCAAATTTCAAGAATCCCTTGCAAAAAATAAGGTAAAGTGGACATTCGCGCGCGCAAGACGAAATCCTTCCAAAAGCTTAGTGTTCGGAGCGATTTTAACATAAAAACATCAAAAAACCAATGGTTTTTCAACAAAAAAATGTCAAAATCTCATCCCGCGCGCTCTTGCGGATTCGTAGGAAACCCAACACTTTTTAAACATTTCTGTCAAACGGGCTTTTGCGAGCAACTTTTTCGAACTTCTGCGACAACGGTTGCGCACCTGCCAGGGCCATCATCCCTGTCAAATAATACCATGCGGGACACATTCGTCTCTCTGTATTATGTATTGTATGGCACAATTGCACCATGCTGGGCACATGCGCGCCCCGAATAAGTGACCAAGTTCTGTGGGTGTGTACCCCACGCCAGTGTAGTAGCCACGGTCGTCCGCACGCCACGAAGTGAAGTGTCCCAACGTCATAGGGCGGGAAGCTGGGTTTGGGTGGTCGCGAAGAGTCGTTTGGATATTTGGTAGAGCTTGTAATGCCCCCCCACGAAGTGGGGGTATTGCCTGGTGTCGTATGAAAACCCTGGCACTGGGGAGAACACCACGCGTTCGGGTAAAATGATTGCTGTTGTTGTTGTTGCTGTTGTTGTTCAGAAAGTGTGGTAGTTGCCAGATACCTGTCGCCAGAGCATTCCAAGACTGGAAGTTCTCGAATGGTGCAGTGCTAGACCCGTCCAGACAGGTGTGACATCTTGGAAAGAATGAAAGCTTGTGAGTCGACATGGACAAATTGATCATCTGCTTGGTGCACTTGTCGATCGGAACAGTATAGCCATCTCAACAATGAACTACATGTTTAGCGCTTTTGGTTCTGACTTGGACCGATCGTGGGCGTAAAGCTGTTGAATTTCTCTGTCGACTGTTCGCGTATCGCAGGCGATCGAGACGCACAGAACCCATTGATTTGAAAAACGGTTGGCGCCGAAAATTCATTCACGCGTCTATATGGATTCCCCATGTCCAGCCTTCCTTCATACATTGAGAGAGCTCGCGGTTGGCGCAGGGTCCGTGCATTCTTTTGAACCGCCCATCTCTCTCGACCCCTTGCCCGGCTCGTTCTCTTCACCCCGATCTGTTTTCTGACGGTCCCCCATGGCACTCGGGGCACGGCCAGCCACAGGGCACCAGTGCCCCGAATGGTAAATGCCCCGCCAGTTGTTTTCCGAGCCAAACGTTTGTGTCCACGGGCAAGAATCACCCCAATGTGTGTACGTGGCAGCCAGAATCTCGAGGCGGATCCAGTTGTGGCCACGAGGTCGCCCCAGGATGCCAGCAAAGACAAAACACGCATCCCACAAACCTCAATCCTCTATGCTCCCTCCTCTCCTTCTTCTTTCCCTCCAATTCAGCACCGTTCAGCGCCAGTCCTAGGACGAAGCTCTTTTCCGAGGTCGCTTTCCAACGGCCTCGAAGACTGAAACGGGCCTCCTCATGCAACAAAAGCAAGGACCTCCCCCTGCTGTTCGATCATCCCCATCCTCCTCCTCCTCCTCCTCCTTCTCCTCTCTTCCTCCTACTCGTCCTTCTGGCCTCCTCCCCCTCCCCCATCCTCTTTCCCCCCCCGACTTCCTCTCCTCCCCGCCCTCTCCGCGCGTTGAGCAAGTGCGAGTTGACGCAATCTATCGACCTGTTGCGGGCGGCGCGAGTGGGCCGGAGAACTTGCAGGCAAAGCTATACTGTATTATCAGAGTGAGGGGGCCGAACGGTCATTCACTGTCCCTGGGTGCGTGGCTGAAGTGGAATTCCGCGGTGCGGATTCTCGTTGTTGTGGTTGTTGTTGTTTGTTGAACATTATTAATTCTAAAGAATAATTATTGTTGGGACCCCTGGTGCACGGCCCCCCTGCGCCGCCTAGGCCGCAGCTACATTTTCATCATTTTCGTGAGGAAGCCTCAGGTAATTCGATGTGATCAAGATCCGGTTGTTTTGTTCCCCCCCGCTTTCCCTTGCAAAAAACACTATAAAATGACATTTCTTGTTCTAATATAATCAAATTTCAAGAATCCCTTGCAAAAAATAAGGTAAAGTGGACATTCGCGCGCGCAAGACGAAATCCTTCCAAAAGCTTAGTGTTCGGAACGATTTCAACATAAAAACATCAAAAAACTAATGGTTTTTCAACAAAAAAATGTCAAAATCTCATCCCGCGCGCTCTTGCGGATTCGTAGGAAACCCAACACTTTTTCAACATTTCTGTCAAACGGGCTTTTGCGAGCAACTTTTTCGAACTTCTGCGACAACGGTTGCGCACCTGCCAGGGCCATCATCCCTGTCAAATAATACCATGCGGGACACATTCGTTTTTTCTTCGCGCGCGCACGCCGAAATCTCCAAAAACCATTGGGTTCTTAAGAATTTTACCACCGCGCATCATAAAATCACACGAATCGCACCGTAGGTCCTCGAAAAACAGCTGCACGACTTTTCAAAATTTCCACCCGCGCGCGCTGTCCGAATCCTAAAAAAAAAAACAATGGTTTTCCAACATTTATGTTACATGAGCTCGCGCGAGCTACTTTCGCACGCTCTTGCAACGGGGTTCGCGCGCCTGCCAGGGGCCATAATCCCTTGCGGTTGCGCCATAGGTTGCGCCCTCGGCCGCCGAGAATAAAACGCCCTCCTATTGGTTGACCCAAAAATGTGACCAACTCCGCTCTCTCTGTCTCTCTCTCTGTCTGCTCTCTGTCTCTCTCTCTGTCTCTCTGTATTATGTATGGTATGGCACAATTGCACCATGCTGGGCACATGCGCGCCCCGAATAAGTGACCAAGTTCTGTGGGTGTGTACCCCACGCCAGTGTAGTAGCCACGGTCGTCCGCACGCCACGAAGTGAAGTGTCCCAACGTCATAGGGCGGGAAGCTGGGTTTGGGTGGTCGCGAAGAGTCGTTTGGATATTTGGTAGAGCTTGTAATGCCCCCCCACGAAGTGGGGGTATTGCCTGGTGTCGTATGAAA